ATTCAGTAGTCCCTTCTGTTGTACCACCTAGTTCTGAAATTTGAGGCTCAAGGTTCCTGAGGCTGTTATGGTTTTGGAGTGACTCATGATTCCTCCCTCTATACACTTCCTAAACCTGAGCCTTCATTCCAAACCATTAAAACCAACCAAAGCATGACAACAGGAGAGACCCCTCGCTACACAAACACACATGAGCATTAGTGATCATAACTCATAAGCGTTTTTATTGGGAAACCCATGAGAAGGTAGAATTGTAGAAACCCCCTCTACATATATACCAGTCATTGACATGAATGATTTCACAAATATTTTGGTGTCTGATATTTAAACCCAGTTAATAAATTACATGGTGGACCTCCAAGAGGTGGTTTACTCCATGAGAGCCTTCCCTTCTAAATTCTGATCACTTTCATAACTCAAGAAGAGAGAGAGAGAGAGAGAGAGAGAGAAGTTAAGAATCTCCATCCCCACTTGACCCCATTTTCCATCAATGGAGATGGGCTCCATCTTGATTCAATAGCTTTAGCTTGACAGAGATACCAAAAAAATGGACAGCAACATTAGACCCCTTTCACCTCAAAAAGACTACTAGACCTTCACCTTCCTATATGACTATGATGACAACCACCCATTTCTAGGTGAGTAATGGGTTTCACCTCTGCTGGCCTAGGCCCCTCACTCTCAGGTTCTTCTTATATTATTAGTCTGCACTCTACACTTGGGTAATGCGTATTTGATTTTCTTTTATCATGAATTGAGGTGAAGTATCGTCTAGAGGCGGAGATAGTTGTGGAGAGGTGGGCACTGGTGATGAGTAACAAGAGTAGCAGCGGTAATAATCATGATATTAGTGATATCAATAACCAAGAAAGGAAGAGACGGTTGACGAGTGATCAGATAGAGTCATTAATTAGAGTGGAGCTTATAGGTGGAGACAAAGCTGAAACCCGAGAGGAAGATGAGGTTGGATCGGAGTCAACCATGAAATGACGGAGCCAATTGTTTTTGGGAACTGTTCTCCAATGAGGAGCATTGTAACTCTGTATTCAAAGTAGCACAAAGTGGTTGATGCCAGGTAACAAATCAGGGGTGAAGAGGAAACAAGTGTATACTTTTGTTGATCCGGGTTCAAAGGAGTTTTGGTATTTGATAGGTCACACCTTCAGCCTTCATACATTATTCAAACCATAAACGAAAAAAGACAAAACATAAATATGTGAATTTCAACCCCGGTACCTTATTTCTCATTTATTCGCATGATGCAAGAAAGTTCACATGCGGATACCATTTCTGTCTTAAGTAAGACCGTTCCCGTTTTAATATATATACTAGCAGAAGGGGCCCTGCGTTGCAGGGGCTCGCTAAACTATCAGGCTCGAGCTCAATTCGAATTAGAGACTTGAGCTCGAGCTCGAGTCAAAATCTTGGAAGTTCGAGCTTGGCTACCTTTGATTGCAGGTCTCTTAAGCAGCCGAGGTCTCCCTCAATTGCCGAGGTGCCAAATTGAGGTCTCCCTCAATTGCTGAAGTGTCGAGCTGAGGTTTCCCTAGTAGGTGAGGTGTCGAGCTAATGTCTCTCTTAGTTGATAAGGTGCCAAGCTGAGGTTTCCCCCAGTTGTCGAGGTGCTGAGCCGAGATCTCCCTTAGTGACCGAGGTGCCGAGCCGAGGTCACTCTTAGTGGTCAAGGTGTCTTGTAGCTCAAGCTTGATTCAAATTAGATACTTGAGCTTGAGCTCAGAAGTTCGAGCTCGGCTCGGCTCGAACTCGACTACCTTTGATTGCAAGTCTCCTATCAGTCGAGGTGCCGAGCTGAGGTCTCCCTCAATCGGAGAGAGAATGACATTCTTGTAATTTGAAAGAAAAAAGCAAAAGAGAGAGAGAGAGTTGGTAGAGAGTGGCATTCTTGTAATTTATATGAGAAAAAGGCAAAAAATACTGTTAGATTCCATTTCCCTCGTCCTCATGCCTAAGATACACATTTCAGCTTAATATATTTATATAGATATAGATATAGATAGATAGATATTGATTTTCATTTGGTTACATCAATTTGATGGTTTCAAATCATTACCATTTTGTTTTTGTTCCACTGAAAAAAAATTATGGTTCAAGAACAAATTTTATTTTTTTGCTGATTTGGCAATTTCATAAACGAATGAAAACAAACTCATTCATGTAAGATCTTTACTCCAAATTTTATTTTTATTTTGATTTTTTACACAAAATCGATTATGTTTGCTTCTCAAAATTCAAAATTGAAGTTCAATACTTGCGACAATGCTATTAACTCGGAAAATAGTTGATCAAGTGGATGAAGTTGGATATGGTCCATTCATTAGTTTTGTAAGAATAACACTTTTTCCATGGAGAAAATGACATCAGCTTCAATGATCACAACCTTTTACAGCCCCGCATTGGGAATATCTCCATACTTGTATGCTTTTTTATGGGGAGATATTCTCAAAGCATGTTTGGTCTTTGGCTGTCCACTTTTGAAAGTCTGTGCTGCATTTCCTATGGCCTAGGGATGTTAGTGAGTCGGGCCCGACCTGATAGACCCGAACCGATTGGGTTGATTTTGGTTCTTAATATATTGTCTTGATTATTATTAGTTTGAAACTGGTTCTACTGTCCATTGGGTCAAACCCACTTGTCTTGAAAACTGATTAGTTTGGTTTTGAGTCTAAAATTACAGACCCTATTGGGTCTGGTTTGGTTTTAGGTCCTTAGTATTTCTTGTAAGGTCGAGATCTCCCTTAGTGACTGAGGTCTCCCTTAGTGGTCGAAGTGTTGTCTAGTTCAAGTTCGATTCAAATTAGAGACTTGAGCTTGAACTTAGAAGTTCGAGCTCCACTCGGCTCGAACTCGACTACCTTTGATTGCAAGTCCCCTGGTAGCCAAAATGCCAAGCTGAGGTCTCTCTTAGTTGGAGAGAGAGCGGCATTCTTATAATTTATAAGGAGAGAGAGAGAGAGAGAGATGGCATTCTCGTAATTTGTAAGAAAGAGAGAGAGAGAATTGGTAGGAGAGAAAGTGGCATTCTTATAATTTAAAAAAAAAAAGCAAGAGAGAGAGAGAGAATTGGTAGGAGAGAGTGGCATTGTTCTAATTTGAGAGAAAAAAAAAAGTAAAAGAGAGAGAGTTGGTAGAGAATGGCACTCCTGTAATTTTTATGAAAAAAAGGCAAAAAATACTGGAAGATTCTATTTCCCTCCTGGTAAGACTTTCTTAAGTATAGATTTCAACTTAATATATTTATATAGATATACATAATAGATGCTGATATACATTATTCATAGAAAGGGATACATCTATATATTGAGAGAGACCGTTGAATAATGCATCTTCACGTACTGAGTTGTGGAGTTCTGATGGCCAGCGTATCCGAAGTCGTTGTGGAGGGCCACACTGTCCAACTTCAATGGCGCTTATTAGGAGTAATTTTAACAACGAAAACATACCAATAGCAGTAGAATAGATGACACTGGAAATATTTCCGATGTGCGACTGCCGACTGGATGTTTGCACTGCTTTTGTTTTCGGGAGATCCGAGTTCCAATAGATGATGTATTACACTTGTGAATTGATCTGGGCAAGTACTATTGCTGAAACCCACCATTTATGCCACGTGGAAGACTGGTGTTTGACTGTATTTTCATTCTTAGTCCACATCATCTTTGTAAATTTCTAATTAATTCAACCACGTGGCAAGGGCTTATGCTAGAACTGCCACGTAGAAGAATTCTAGCAGGTCGTTTAGTTTCCTACCCTACACTGAGAAGTCTCATCATCATCTGATGTGCAGGGCGCAGGCACCACCACAAAATCCATAAAACCATATCCATTACCGCTACTGATGAGAAAGACACAAGCGCAAGAAGGACAAACATGATTTCCCTCCTAACAATATCATAAAATGATAAATAACTACTGTCGTTTTTGGTACAGAAGAGAATCCGTGGTGGGGCAGAGTAGGATGCCCATGCCCACTCACTGATTATGTATGTCGGTGTTTGGAACCGTATACATTTATTGACAAAACGATTTGTCAGAAAAATAATGATTAATCCGTTTATTGATACTTAGCCTTATTAGTTAGGGATGTTTATGAAAACTCGATCGAATTAATTAATTCGGTTTCGATTTGGTATTTTTGAAAAATTGAATGATCGATTTGGTTATCGGTTATGCTAGAAAAAAAATGATGGTTAACTAAACTGAATAATATATATATATATATATATATATATTGTAAATATGTCACATATTTTCTATATATTATATATAAATATATGCATTATATATATATAAATATATACATATATTATATTTATAAATATATTATATATACTATATATTTTTATAATTTTTATAATATATTATATCATTTATTATTTATAATATTATATTATACATATATTTATATAATATATATTATAAATATAAAAAACAAAAAAATCGAAGAACCAAACCGGTCAAAAACTGAAACCAATGGACCGGTTAACTGGTGGTACCAGTTCAGTTTCAGTTTGGAGAAATTGAAAAACCAATAATACCAATTCAGTTTGCAAAAATTGTCTATGGTTTGATTGACGGAACCCTAAACACCCCATAGACACTATTAGGCACCACATTATTAAAACAGTAAATAAATACCTACGTGTTAGAGAAAGTGCTAAAATGAAACTTATCCAACGACAAGATAGAGTAGGCACGCACAACGTATTCATATAATGGGAGAAATGCTGAAGCGGCGCCTATGTGATATATCACAGAAAGCTTGCAATCATGTTGACGACAGAGCCATTGGCAAGCATTGTCGTATTTTATGAATCAACCAATCAAATTAACCAGTCCTGACTCCTGTGTCGAATGGGGTATTTATGTGGGTGCATGCACCATGCACCATGCACTTTGCTTTTTGTTCTCTGGCATGCAGATGAAACTTAAATTGGAATTTAACTATTGGCGTTATGTTATGTGGAGTGTGGACATCAGAATTCTGAAAACAGTAAACGGTATCACCATCTGTTTAATTATTGAGGAATGGAATCACAAACAGAAAACCACTGATAATTGATTAGATAAGTAAAATTGGTTGGTGTTGCTCATCAATCATCATCAATTCATCACCCCCCATAACCATAAGCCGTGCTGCGGAACCTTTTAATGGTGCAGACATTGAGAATTCTGAGGAGGACCTCGTTGCTAGTGCACCTGGGTGTCTTGAACTGGCTCAGTGCTGCTCCATTCCCTACAAAGTGATCCAATATCTTCTTAAATGTCCCACTCTCCACAATGCACAGTTCTAGTGGTCCGATTGAATTGGCCCTCCTCGAAACCACATACCCATGATCCACAAACGCTGCGTCCATCTCCCTGCAGCACTCCCTCAGCACATCCTCCTCCACTTCACCCTTTATCTCCCAGTAAATCTTGTAGTGCCCTGGTTGATTTTTCACGTCGGCATGACTGGTGAAGTCCACTAGCTCAGCCTTTGTCTTGCTCAGCAGCTGAGAACCCCTCTCCACCACCAGCTGAAGGTCCTTCTCTGTATTCTTGTCAATGTTTACCGTTAGAATTAGCTTTCTTCTGCAAATAAAGTTCAGTTTGGGGGTTCCTTTGTAAAACCCAGCCACCTCCACCACGTCTCCCAACTTGTATCTATAGAGACCTGAAATGATAGAAGAGTCAAATTAATTAAAAGAGGTGATCGATCATTCGATCCAACGGGTTAAAGCATTGCACTTACATAAGAAAGTGACCCTTCCTTTTTCCAAACAGTAGAAAAGATTAAAAGCAACACAAGACATTTAAAAGTGGCAAGCGAAGGTCTGGTCTGGCCTGCTCACACAAAACAAAATACACCCATGGTAACTCGGTTTCAAATTCATCCACAACCATGAATGAATTAAAAAAAAAAAAGGAGAAAAAACAGATGGGATTGATCCAAGATATTTACTTTAATTTGAATATTCCCCCTCCGCATCAAAGGCTGTCCACATTCAATGAACGCCAGCTCTGTTAAATTGTCGGTTGTTTGAGCCTTTGAGCTTGAGGTCTCTAGGTGAAACAAGCTAGCTAAGAGCAACTAGCTAGTAGCTACAAATAAATTTAGGTAAGTACACCTCCAATATCCCCTCTTGATCTATGTCTCCATAGAAGACTTGGGCCAACAATTTGATGGCTCTGGGATTGATCATGTACCCTAGAAACTAGAAATTAAGAATCCATAGTTCCCATACTCATAAAGCATGGGAACTACTCATAAAGCTTTATGAGTAGAGGGAAACCAAACAGAGAGAGAGAGAGAGAGAGAGAGAGAGAGAGAGAGAGAGAGAGAGAGAGAGAGAGACCTGTAAAAGTGGTGAGGACAACCTCATATTCTTGTCCAATCTTAACTTGAGAGAGTGGTACAGGCTCAGCTTCCATAAAATCATCAATGGCTGAATTGCTTTCTTGGTTCTGCCTATAAAGAGGTATAAATTCGAAGTAAGAGAAGGTGGGTATTACTGCAAAAGTAACATTCTCTGGAGTAAAAGAGGGATCCACATTAACCCCAATCCAACTCTCTGTGGATCCATAGTCAGCACTCACTAGAGGTAAATTCCCTGCATAACGCCTTAGTTTCTTCAAATAAGGTTGCATCGATCCCGTCATTATCGAATAAACATATTTAGCATTCGGCCATAGCTTGGGAATCACAGAGAACCAATCCAACGATTCTAGCTCATTGCATTTCTTTTCAATCGTTAAAGCCAGGGATGGATTCGGAGAGAGAACCTCCAGCACAGCTTTTCTCATGCTCGGTACGGTGATTCTTGAACTCAGAGTGCCGTCTTTGATGTCTCTGCATATGTCCTTCCATACCTCTTCGAAGGTTGTAAATGCCTGCACTATGCTGTAGGCAAATGTGGAGGTGATGAACTCCACCTCATCACAGAAAACAAGGCCAAGCAGAAGATGACAGTATGTCGATTGTTTGTAGTCTCCACCTGAAATTATTTCCTTCGGACTGCAAGTAAATGACTTTGTTTTCTTCTGTTTTATCTTGAACTCCTCACTTTCGTAGTAGTGGGTTGTTGCTGTTCCCGCTGTTAAACCTCCCTTCGTTTTGAATTGTCTGCTGCTATAAATGAATTCAAGGATCCTCCCTCCTGCTCTTATTGGGTAAATCCTGATGCAAATAATCAAATCAGAAGAAGAGGAAGAGTGAGAAACTAGATAAGTGAACTGCGAAATTAAACACGGAATTGGGACCTAAGACGAGTGTAGCTGTGAACCCCAATTGATTACAAGCAGGAGCAAGAAGAAAATCATTTGAAGTAAAAAAGTAAAGAAACGGAGTTTTTCTTATTGCTAATATAATATAAATTTTAGGAAGAAAATGAAGTTTGAACAGAGCACTTCGCATCAGAAAAGAGAGAGAGAGAGAGAGAGAGAGTATTAAGGTCAGAGGCAGACCTCGATCGGTGAGCGGCTGCCAACCTGAAAATCTGAAGAGTAGTTTGAGCGCTATGTCGAGTGAAGGGTACGTACTTTTGTCTTCCTTCTGTGGTTCCCGAACTAATAACCATTGGCAGAAAAGAAAGTGTGAAACGATTTCAGGCTTTGTAACAGAAAAATTGGAGTTTCTCTTTTAACGTTTGAAATAAAAGAAATGAAATAGTAAATGGATAATAAAACAGAAAACAGAGAGTTAGTTAGACATCTATTCTTCATCCTCAAAACTTGGACCCCTGATAAATAACAACAAAAACAGGACCAGAATATAAAACAAAAGAAGAAGAGGAGGAGCGACCAACCTTAGGGAAAGAAGGGAGATGGGTTCTTGAGTGAGGATTGGAGATGAATCCCCATCTGCAATTCTCTGGATGTAAGGCTCTAAATCCGCATGGGAAGCAAGAGGAACTAAGGAGGTGTAAAGGGCTTCCAGGGCAGTGGAGTCCATATCTTGGACTTTAATATCCCCCAGCCATTTCCTGAGGTATTCGGTGTTAAAATTCAGTTCAATAATTCGTCGCAGAGTCTGGGTCTGAACGAATCCAGCGTTTTCTGCCACCTCTTCGAACCACCTGATAATGTCGTAGTCATGACAACCGTTACTGTTCAGGGACGGTTCCATTGGGTAATAATGCCGGGAAGAAGTTAAGACTTAAGGAATGGTGCACCGGACTTTGGGTTTCTCTCTCTCTCTCTCTACATACTCACACAGAGGTCAGAGACAGAGTCACACACACACACTAGAAACACAAAGCAAGATCACAGGGACAATGCGTTTCTCTCTTCAACTGGGCTAGATGTTGGACGCTAGCTTAGCCCATCTCTCACCTTTTCAATATTGCTCAAATGCTCTATAACACTATTGTAGATGAGTACGATGGTATATAGACCACAAGAAAGGGTTATCGTTTTGTAGATATATAGATTCTTTAGAAAAAGGATGGAGACGAATACGCGCACCAAAAATGCAAGCTATAATAGTAATAGTGACCCCAACTCCCCTTTTAATCCAATCTCTATTTATTTACATACGTTGACTTTGATATTTTCACTACCCTATTTTTGGATACAAATTTACAACGTTTTTTTTCTTATTTTTTTTAATTGGTAACTCAAGATATGTTACTATATTTAATGTTACGTGTTTGATGTAGGTGCAGATGGCCCCATCCCATCGTGGGCCTACACGTGTTGGCGCAAGTCAGAACAGATCCAATCAGGGTGTGCACGAGGCAGACCTCGGCGGGTTTCGGGAAGTAAATAGCGTGGGGTCACCTAACGGCCTCCGATAGCCACACTCCTCGCATATGGACTGCATCCCGATCATCCGAGTTCACCTATCTCCAGACGGCTTCAAGTGTAAATAGGAGGTGACCCCCTCAAGGTAAGGGATTTGAACTTAAGTTCTTTAGTTCGCACTCGAGATCTTCTATTCTTTCTTGTGGCCTCGTCTGGGTGTTCATACCTCGAATCTTGTTCACTCCGCACCTCTTAATATTAACTTGACTGTTGGAGTCTTTGCCTCAGATTGCCACCCAGAGCCTCTAACATTGTCCTTTTCGCAGGATTGACCTATTAGTCCTCGGACCCTGAATACATCGGCCCAGATACCTTAGCCTCCTCGAACCTTGGGCACCTCGAACCTTAAACACCTCGGACCCCGAACACCTTGGATACCTCAGTTTCACCTTGGCTTAGGAGCGAATTGACAATGTTATCCTCAGCCATTCTGAGCATCAACATCATCCACGATTAAAGCTGCTTTTAAGGGATTTTGCCTACTGATTATAATTGATTTTGTTGAATGGATTTTCTTTGCCTAATGCTTTCGAGAAAAAATGATTCGATCATCCAATGCTGATCCATCTGTTTGTTTCTGAGAATCTGACCCGGACCCGATTACCTTAACCCGTTTAAGACTTTTAATGGGAATGGCGTAACTCATCATCCATCCCATGTCGACGGTTGGTTTGTAGTATGCGGGAATCCATAACCCCCAACTTTTTACCAAAAAAGGATTATATGAAAAATTGTATTTATTATATTTTCTTTTTCTCTTTCCTTAATCGGAAAAAATGCCAATTTAATAGTGACAATCAAACAGGGCAAAAAGGGGAAAAATCATGTAAGAATAATTATCGGTTGCAACCCTAACTTTCTTATTTTATGTGTTATTGTTAAATAAATTTCTTTTTTCTTTTAAATTTTACCTTTTGCTATTTCAGGTAGTTGGATTGAACCGACCTCAATTTTTATCAACCATTGATCCCTTCTACCCATTCAATAATTTTTATCTATTTTTTTTATTTTAATTTTTTTGTCAAAATAGATTATCCCTTCAAATTAGATGATCAAACCGTCAACCCAAAAACTAGTGTTCAGAACAATTTTACTTCTAAATTGGTTTTTAAAATCTTGGTTATAGTACTGAGAACCAAGGACTTGGATGTATTGACATAGTCAATGGCCCTACCAATATGTCACCTAATGTAATTTAAGGTGGGGCCATAACAATACATCAAACAGCTTTGATTTTATTGTTGTGATTTGTTTGTGTTTTGCCGTATGGACACTTGAAACCTTGCAAGATGTGTCACTCATTGTCTAACATGGCAAATAGATTGATCATGTGACAAATCAAAATGGTTGGAAACTGTCGAGATATATTTGAAAAATATCGGGAAATGATGGAAGGATTAAGATATGCATAGATCAATATGAATTTCATTATTGTTTCAAAATAATAATTTTAATATTTTATTACTTTTTCTTTTTTTTTTGTTTTAGTTTTCTGGTTGATGTGGAAAGTGTTAATATTCCATATCTATCAATATTCATCGATGATCAATATATATGGTTAGGGCTAGCAATATTTGATACAATATGTGATCACCAAACACAATAAGAAGCATCAAAGTTTATTTTGATGGATCTAGGTTCAGGGGGAATCCAAGTAATACCCCTCCACCTTTTCTTCTCTCTTGAAGTCCCTGGATCTTGATAAGACTCATAAAACTCAGCCATATTTTTTAGAGCTCTTTCCAAAACAATTTGGGGTGGGTCTGCGATATTAGAAAATGTTTTCTGATTTCTGTTTTCTCATATTTGTGAAAGATATAGACATACTTCTCCTCCAAATTACTTTTGTTTTTCAAATCGATTTCGTGAATATTCTCCGGCCCACCATGCTAGCAAGTCTGTATTCGAATCATTGGGGCCTAGTATGCTTTGGTCTACGACAGACCAAATCTGGTTAGTCATCTCACACATCTTAAAAACATGATTTAAGTCTTCCTCACCACAGAAACTGCAACCACCATCAGTGTTTAAACCTCTAGCTCTCAGCTCTCAACAAGCTTTTAGAAGGGAGTTTGTTTTTCAGTAAGAAGAAACGAAAGATTTTTAGTTTCGGCTGACATTTGTGTAGATCTTTTCATATGCCACTTAACGGTTAGTTAATGGTAGGTATTAGATTGGTATGTTTTGAAAGTTTGGATATTGAATTATTGTATTTTAAAGTTCGAGGACTAAAGAAGCATTAGGCCCAAAATACATGGTATTAATCGAGAATTTTCCTTTTTTTTTTTTATTTCAATACAAAATAGAGAAGGGGAGGTTACCCACCACTAGAGATGCAAACGGATCGGCTCAGATTTGAATCAGAGTAATCCGAATATGATCCAACATTGTTCATGGTGGATCCAATCCGATTTGAAGATCCGATCGAATCTGATAGGCCTCGATCTGAATTCAAATCCTATTGGTAGGTCGGTCTTTGAATTTGATCCAATCTGATTTTTTTTCTTTAAAAATTAATAGATTATTAAAAGAAAAATAAATATACCAATTTAAATAAACAAAAAAAGAAAAATATAAGTATTTTTTAATTATTTTCAACATATATATATACATGTTATTTATAAAAAATGAATAATATAACAAATTCATAAAAAGTACAGTATAAATAGATAAATAACATAAATATATATTATATATATATTTATATAAATAAATATATAACATATATCAGATCGAATAGGGATAATCCAAATTAGATCCAATTTCTGATCGAATCCTATTATATCTGATCCAATTTAAAGATCGAAACAGGGATGATCCGAATTTGACCAAATAGAATTGAATGATAATCCGATCTATTTGCACCCCTACCCAACTTGATTCTTTGTTAATGAGATTCGCACAGACAGTTTAAATGGATACCTTCCATTGCTGATTAACTCCTATCTACTAAAAAATTTTATGTAAATCCTAAGTCATAAATGAAAAAAGGGGATCCTCTTATGGGATGCTAGACAAAGCAAAACGGGTCCAGATCAAGTCGTTCCGATTTTTTTACCCCAACTCAGTTTTAGGAGTCTTATCTTAATCCCAGTACTGGAATTAAATTAGTACGAAGAGCTCCCCCATGTTTATAATTCAGGATCCACACAAAATCACAACTAAGTATCATATTAATCAACAATTATAACATGTGACACATACGAAACCTATGAATTATTTAGCATATACCGATCGAAAATGCAAAAATTAAGAGAAAACCTGGCACAAAATTACAAAAATCCAAAGGAGAATAAAACCAATCACAGGGGAGTCCAGTGTGTTTGTGTCTTCCCTATTCCCACCTTCAACCATTTGGAACTTACAATATAACTCTCCAATTAACAGGTTTCTTTTCCCTTTCTAACCTAAAAAGAAAGAAAAAATTCCAAGCTTTCTACAGTGAACTATCTTAGAATCTATGACAGTCGAACAAAAACAGATGAGCTTCTAAAACTCATCATGTGAGTCATCGTTCCATTTGATCCACTAGGAGCTCCACCAGTTCTTTGATAGACAACAACGATGATTGAGTTTTCTCACCTCTCTAGTTCTCATCCAACCACAGAAGACCGCTTTGCTGCTTCCTCGAAGAAGCCTTCTCCCATATCTCAGATCCCAGAATCTTAGTAGCAGCTTACCAGAAGAGGGAAATGCTTCAGAGAAAAGGTTACAAAACCTTTTTGAATATTTTCCGTAGCTTAGTAGTCTTTGATTTATATAATAGTTCCAGTTTGGTGTCTGGCGGTGAACAATTAACGAGAGATTAGCACACAGATCGAAAGACCATTAGATAGCGAAGAAAAATGAGTGGTGAAAGATCAATGGCGGTGTTTGCTTGATTTTGGATGTATCGGTGCTTATTGTTTAACGAACGATGGTGCTGTTCAAGTGTTGATAGCTGTCGTTTAGGAAAGTTGCGATATTTCGCTTATTCTATTGATCGGTGGAGTGTGGTGGAAAAAGAAAAATATTTCATACTTTCATACGTGACTGACTGAGACGAAAAATGAAAGAGGACAAAATATAAATACGTGAACAGCAATCCTAGAAGGCCACGTCGTCTTATTAACAAAGGCCCTTTCCGTTTTTGTATATAGATTACCGTCCCTATTACTCTCCATATCCCTAACTTTTTTTCTTTTTTCTAATCATCTTCCCCATAGCAGTCGCAAAAACTTTTCCCCTATTCCATCCTACATCTCCACTGCCATCACTGCAAATTTTAGCAGCAACGGCTCCTCTACAACTCCTCACACTGGCCCCATAGCATGGAGATTAAATTGACGCCCCATAGAGGGTGCCCCACAAGCACCCATGGCACCATCCACTTGCGTATTTAGAACATCTCTGATATGACGAGAGATGTTCGCAATACACGTTGAGATATGCATGTGGGGCGCTTGTGAAGTACCCTCTGTGTGGGCCCAATCTAATCTCCACAGCATGTACCAATCATATATTAGAAACATTTATCCTACATGTACCAATCATATAGTATTATTCATAGGAAATGTTTCCAATACA